AACCTTTCACACATTTCAGGGATCCTTCTAAACCCAGCTTCTGATCATATGCCAACGAATTGGTATTGCACATAAAACTCTCTAGAAAAATATCATGCTAGACCGTTGTCCTTAGCCCTCCAGCCTGTGAACCAGGTTTTAAAGACCAAATAGGCACACAAGCGCATGCAATATTTCATATCTCTAAGATACTTACAGAATTTCTCTCTGCTATGATAGCATGATTAGTACCACTAAAGTTATATGACCAAGGTAGATGAGCCATCGCTTTCGTACATCTTTACAATAACAAATGTAGAAATCCCTCTGATTTAGGCTACATTTATGAGGTGACACTTTCATTTCATATGAAAGAGCATGAATAAGGCACTTAAAGGTCAATCTAGCCGGAAGACGATGGCTGATCCGCTTTGTACTGCGGCCGTTTGGCCGTCCACGATACATCCTCCTTCGTTTAGGGTGAAAACGGGCTGAGCTTTTATCCATCATTCGATGGACATCATCAGAGCTGGAACTCATTCTATAAAAAGTCTAGTCAACAAAGACCAAGTCTTTAATACTGTGAGGCTCTATCTTACTTCTGATATGCACGCATAACTAAAAGACGGAAATGTATAAGCATAATTTTTATATCGGTAACGCTAATTTCACTCCAGTGTAGGTGTGTACGTGTGTGTGGACTAAAGTGTATACGTAATACCAGTCTTAAATCAGAGTGATAAAAATCCTAATGTCAAGTCTTGGTCAGCAAAGCTTGATGATGCAAGAAAAAACCCTGACTTGAACAAAAGCTATTTTAGGAGATTCGTCAAAACCCAATTACTCTTCGTATCTTATTATATAAGGTCGTTAAAGAGAAGAACATCAAATGACTTTTTTGAGTCTTTTCCAAAAGCTTCGACAATAGAAGGCCTACAGAGCAAGATATTGGGTTGAAAAGATTGGCTTCAATTCGAATTCTCATCGGGGGATTACGGAAGATGTAAAAAACTATAAATTGTCATATTGTTAACCCTTGCCTGAGGTCAATGGAGATACAGAACATAGAGCTTACATTCACTCTTTATAGGAATTTCTCACAGAGAGCCGGAGAGCTCTTTATCGTGGTTTCCACGACCTTGGCTGAGTGTTTCGCAATTGTCAGAGAGGCTTAGTAGGGAAGGAATATGTTTCTTGAGTAGAATGCTGATATCAAGAAGGCTTGGAGCCGAGATGACCTTTGTGAAAATTTCTCTTGTCTGCATTCAAAGTGGAAATCGCAGAAGTGTTTCGCACAAAATTAGCTCGAGGCCACATGCTGCTTAAGGCATATTCCGAATGAAAAAAGCCAGCACAATCGTGCAGGCCCTCCTGACGTTGACATCACAAATAGTGCGTGAAATAGGGAAAAACATTGCCTACTGATCGGACTCACTATCACCAGTTCCTTGAGCCGACGCATGCTCAGATATTCGTCCAAGGCCTGGTTGAATCGAGGGCCAGGACAGCGCCGAGCTGTATCCAGAGCCACCAGCATCAAGCCGATCAGAAGTCGCTGCACCTGCAGGCCTGGCCAGACGTGAGGAGTGTCGAGGCAATCGGGAGCAGTGGCGCTGGCACAACCCGACATGCCAGACGAAGCGTCTCCGAGTGAGCCCTGCCCGAAGGTGCTCTGCTCGCGACTGGCAGGACTATGGCCTTTGAGCACTCCACTGGCACTGATCGAGTGCGAACTGCCGCTGCCGCTGAAGCCGATGCCGAGCAGAGGGCTGCCGGAAGCGACAGACCCAGCGGGAGAGCCGCAGCCCAGGTCGCCAGACAGCGAAGGCAGCATAGGCGTGCAGGCTAGAGACGTCGAGACGCCAGAGTTCGAGTGCTCTCGGTGGATTCTGTATGGAAGGGCGGGCGAGAATTGATGCATGCGCGAAATTATTATGCAATGGAGGAATAATGATAGTTGAAAGCGATTGTGTGCGTCGGTAGGCAAGTAGGCCAATGTCGGATTTATCCAACAAAATGATCAAAT